TTTCCGTTGCTGTGATGCACGGTTCTCCACCTCGCAGCCTCGAGTCGTTATCGGTACAGTAGCACTAGAGAAAACTGTGACACTGCTTTGATTATCCGTTCACAGGTTATCGTACTTGAGTTAATCTTTTCTTACTAGCTCGTGGTCACGTCACCGGGCGTCAACAGTTGGATTTTCGCTGTGATTCATATGCTGCCTTTTCGAGTCCATATGCTGATAAATTGCCTTTCTGTCGAGTCCAGCCATTCGAGCTAGCCATCGCTGAACCGTGATCGAATTATGGAATTTGCTAGGTTCAGGTGGCTTTTGCTGTCGGCCTAATGAATCAGTCTTGGATTCTTAACTTCGCATGTACCGAAATAAAGCAAAGCGAACGACAAATCCAGTATAAAACCGCTGACATTATGTAACACCACATATGCATAGACGTTTTGGCCATCTAACTCTTTGATGCAGCCTTTCCATGTCAAACTTCTGTTAAAGGCAACTTTGTTCACGTGGATCCCGGGATGGCACGCTGTTACCGTGCCCAGATTTTGTGGTTAATCAGCAGTGCTTTACTGACATCCACCGGTCCAGTTACGCTGCTCTCGCAAGGTGATATTGCATATATATATATATATATATATAGGATTTCACATGTGATGTATCCAGCAGAGAATTAGAAAGAATTGACTCCAGCATATGGAGTTTGCATGTGTGCAGGTTATATTATTGTGCAACAATGTAATAAGTTCAGATCCTTAGCACAGTTTCGCTGAGTTGACTGTTGGTAGTAGCTGAGTACATTTTGGAGAAATGTTGTTGAAGGTGTTCCTCCGGCTCATGTGACGGAATCTTCAGGTCCGTTTTCGTCACTCGCCACTTTGGCCTTAATCCAGCTGATGAATATAAGCCTATTCCAACGTGGGATTTGTCGCAATTTTCAAGCTTTGCGACGGCATAACTGCTCCACCCTGGAATAACCGAAGTAATTCTCTTTCACAGGCAATAACAAGTTGGGATAAACACCATGATGCTACCATATGATACGATCACAATTTCTGAATGCCGCTTCTAAAGGCTGACATATTCGTACCATGGATATGATGTGGTGCACAAGGAAAAGTTTCGCAACTGAGATTTTTATACTCATGTAATTTGTCGCAATTCCTGATGTTTTGGGGTAGTTTATCCCAGAGCATATGCCCCCATGCTGAGGCTGATGTTGTATTTATGATGCTTCTTCACCGCAGTTGGGCTAAACCAACTTACACTTAAACTAGGTCTTTTTAAACTGGATACATTTCATTCCACTTTATTTGGTTTGTTCTGCCTACCTGAATAATGTTCTATTAACTGGCCACGTTGCTTACATTATTTGGACTTATCTTCGGTAACATTGTTGTGTTTTATAGCATTTTTGAGTAACTTATGGACAATTTGTACTTATCGCTGGTGCGTTGCTAACCAACTTACTTCATATGCTAATTTAGGGTAGAGTTATGTCTGTATAGCCGTATTCTTTAATAGACATATTTTATTTGATAATGCCATTTCAAGTGATTGGCTGTTGTTTGACATCCCTGGTGTGGCTGCTCTTGATGTGCATGTTGACAATGTGCCTACCTGTCTAGTACCCACAGCTGGTCGTTGCTGCAGGGGACGGGGTGCTCGGTCCTTGTGATCGTGCTAGGCTCGAAGAGTGCTTCCATGCACTCAGTGTGGAGCGGACTACGGTCCAGCCACCGCCTTGTGTGCGCTTGATTCCCCAAATACAGCGTGCTTGTGTTTGCCTGTGTAGGAGTGTGGACCGCCTCCGTTGATGAAACGTGGCTCCCGTTCACATACCTCCCGGTCTTATTCCTTCAGGTTTACACTGGATATGGGGTGTGTGGATGGAGCTGTGGGTGGTGCAGCGCAAGCCATCCATGGTCCCTTTGTAGGCGCGGGCGTCCTGTGGCTGGCCACAGTGACAGGCAAATCCGAAACCGGATGCCGCGAACCATCCCAAAGCTTGGAGTGTGCAATAGGAAAGAATCGTCCTCTCTTTTGTGATCTTGTCAGTGGAATTATGACCTTACAGATCACATTCCATATGGCGTATGTTTGTTTTTCTGCCTCATCCACAGATTTGCTCCTGCGATGTGACCACCGTTATTTAGGATTTTGAATAGAAAACACAGGTGTTGCAACCATTTTTTGTAGCATTTGGGTTGCAGTCTAAGGAAAGCATAGCGCTCACTGTGTCCCAGTTTTGTGGAGTATCCAATTATTCTTTCGGTAAATGGGCGTTGAATTCGCTCAACAGTGACTTTTCGCACTGTCGCATCTTTGTGTTTGCCAATGCGCAATAAAAATGCCTATCCACTCTAGGCCATCGAGCATCATGATGATCGTGATTTTAAGACTACGGTGATTGAGGTGGTCACCTACCGTCAACAAAATTGTTCGCGGAAACAGACTTTAGAGACCGGTGACTGATGCGAAGAAAGATCGTCATTGGTTGATTTGGTTTGGACCAAATCTGTTCTGGTCCCACCTACCGTTGCCGACGTAACACATGGAATAAGATGGCTGCCGCTTTTGTCTAAATGAAACACCATACCTGCCTCTAAACCATCGGCAGTCGATTGTCATGAAAGCATCTTCTATAGATGCATAGGCATATTCGGTTCGGTCGCTTCCGCCTGGACAATTCTGATCAAATAGATCAACCGCGCCTTGTGCTAACTACTTCTCCCATAGAATCAGGTCATCGTGCACACACACACACACACACACCGACAACCCTCGCCTCGGTATGTCACCGTAACGCTCGTCAAGCCCCATCCGTAATGCAGCCATCGATGTGACCTGAATGTCTAACTCCATGGGGGTTTGCACACGCTGAAAAAAGCAGAAATCGCGTGCGCCGCCCATTCCAGCTACCGTGGAATCCAGACTGGATTTAGCGAACATGTGGAAGAGCACAGTTGGCAAAATAAAACGGCGACACTGTTGCTTTCTTACTAACTGAGTGTTTAATTGATGCTCGATTCATACAAATTAGCGCCACCAACAAACATCCCCTGCTGGAAATCCTTCCGTCTCAGTCTTAGTGTAGCCAATGTTATGGTTCTCCAGTTCTTTCGTTCCCATAGTTTGTGATCCCATTCATCACCCTGTGTGTGCTAGGAGAGTTCCTAAGCTAGTTGATAGGGTGAGAACTGTACATGTTTGACTTTGTGAGTGGCCTCTGTTTATACCGTGAGTTGCTCTGCTTCTTACGTGTGATATAGCGCCGCTCAGTATCCACTGGTTTGTAGGTGGCCACCTCAGGCAGCGATAAACTTACCGAACTTAAGCCGCAAATGAACATATGACAGTACGCAGAACGTTTTATCAGAAATCGAGCTTTTGCTATAACAACTATTGCTCATTGCACCACATTTTAAACACTCCCTCTCCCGAAACTAGTCCCCCTACTGACAACATACCATTCCCAACGGTGCTTTCAGTTTTGGAAAGCATTTTGGAAGGCATTTTCTGTTATGGCGTGCAGGTCTCTTGTCGCATTTTTTTATATCTCCTCTTTGGTTTGTAAACGATGTCCTTTCAACGTGGTTTCAAGTTTGGGGAATAGGAAAAAGTATTCAGGGGCTAGGTCCGGGAAATACGGTGGATGGGGCACAACGAGAATGTGATGTTTTGCTAGATAGCTGTGAACAAGGAGCGATACGTGAGCCGGCGAATTGTCATGATGCAGCATCCGAGTCTAGTTTTCCCACAGTTCAGGCCTCTTCGTGCGCACAGCATCACACAAACGCGCTAGAATTTGATGGCATTATCCTACGCTGATGGTCACTTCGTCAGCAACTTCTCGAATCGTTAGAGGGCTGTTTCCACGGCTCTCGGCAGGCTCTCACAACATAATCATCGTCTGTTGATGTGGAAGGTCGTCCGGGCCTGGGATCGTCATCGACCGATATTCTATCGTGTCCAAAACACTTAAAGCACTCACAGCACTGCGTGCGACTCATACAGTCCTCCACGTATGCTTGGCTAAGTGATTGAAATGTCTCTGTAAAAGTGTTGCCAAGTTGTTAAAAAATGTCGCACAAGTGTTGTCAAGTAAGCTCATTCATTGTTTCTTTGTCATTAATCCGACAAACAGCTTGTGCACGTGCTCACTTCAGCGGCTGTTACTCGCCAAATAACAGTCAGAACGAAATGCTGCAAATAGCAATTTGCCGTCTAAGCAAGCCTCCACCTGCACTCAGTAGCCGCAGCGAGCTCCCTCTGCCCGTTGCCTCGCTGGTTCAGAAGTTAGGTTTTTTCGAACACCCCTCGTATAAGCAATTTGTTCTGCTAACTGGTTATAAGCGGAAGCTCATCATACCTAGGTTCATTCAGACGTCTCTCACACACCTGGAAAAGCACTACACGGCCGCCTCGTCCTTTCGGGAATCGTCAGTAGTGTGCATTCCATCTGACCCCGCAACTCGACATCTGGTAACATAGTCACATCGGTCGTTGCCGTCCCCCGTAGCTCAGTGGTTTCAACCGCAGACTGGCAACAGTCGAGCTGTGGGTGCCAGTTCTACGAGGGTCAGATGGAATGTACACTGCTGACGATTCCCGAAAGGATGAAACGACCGTCCGGTGCTTTTCCGGGTGTGTGATGTATGTCTGAGTGAGTCTGGATGCGCTGAACGGCAACTTATGTCATTCTAATCTCCATACTACTCCCTGGTTCTGCTTCTAATAAGCGATTTAGTTGTAACCAGTTGGTTGGCATCGGGAGTGCTCTTTCAGCTAAGTCCAATTTTTCTTGTAGGATAAATACCCATTCTTAGTATATACAGTGGAGACTACTCGAAAAGAAATTTCTTCGCAACTATCTTTTGTTTAACAGTGGGTTATCCTGGCATTCGATGCTTTGCATTCGGTACTTGGACTATTGATACCAACCGGTAAGACTGAGTTGCACAGAAGTGCCACGCCCAATTTGTATCTTGTACTTTCTTTTTCAACTGAAGGATCGAACGACGGATGGAACCATTCCCGGTACCTGTGCCAAACTAGACACCTATCGTTCCTATTGCCGCGATGAGAAGCCCTTCAAGCTGGACGAGAAAGTCACGCTAGAAAATTTATACAACACACTACAAACAAGACTTCGATTATCGAATCGTCCAAACTTTTTGCCTGCTGAAGGTCACATGATTGCAGACATCCAGTCAGCGTGGCAACAGTTGGAAAATTATGAAAAAGGCTTTGAGGTAAGGGAACTACGATTGGCAGGTGAATCTCATGAATGATATACGCTTGTTGTTGTGTCGTTACAGGTACCAATACTTGTTGCTCTCTAGTACCCTGCATTCCCGATTGGTAGCCCTATTCTGCCATGTCCTGCTGCGATTTACCGGCTGTGATACATGAACTTACTTTCGGTCACAGTTCCTGTGGGACACAAATGCTGCCTTACTTTTGTTCTAGACGCTTACTCTGCTGTACACCTTGTGTGTGTGGAGTGTGCTGCTTGCCGAACTAAGGCAGCGAAGACTACTGCGAATCGATCCTGTGCAACCCATCACAATTTGCAATGCAACAATACGGAGTACTAGTATCAATTTACAAAGGCTCTTATATCGTCTAGCTATTTTTCATGATTTAGCAGAAAAGTTAACACAAGAGTGCCGCACTGTTAAAAGTTTCCTCAGGAACTAATTGTTTCAATTATTTTTCATGTGTTACACTTGGTAGCATCTCGGCCTTGCTAGTCGCCGATTTGGAGCATTTGCGCATTCATGACAATGTGTTGACGAACTAGCTTGACCGGTATCTGTGGTTAGGATCCACATGGCATTCGAGGGCTGGTAGCACGATGACGGTATTGACAGGACTGATTTCGTGGAATCCTCACTGTGTCCATTACAACAACATATTTGCGCTGCATCCACACTGCCAATGTAACTCTTACGGTCCCTCTCCGATTCCTCAACTACCGATCCTCACTGATGTTTGTAACGGAACAGAACCGGCGGACTGTCCGTTTCTATAAGAAGATACGATGGAGTAGATAAGCGTTACTACTATTTTAGAACTAATCTACTCTTTGACCTGGTATATATGTAGGCCCTAACGTCTCGAAGCTGCAGACACTCAACCTGTGCCTGCGGCTTAAACCATTAAAGCATTCCCACTGTAGGACTATCAAGTGGCTCGCCTTTACTGCTTGCGTCGTTGGAGGCCAAATCAATATTCCAGTTAACCTTCATGCACATACTTGCTTGGTTCAAGCAAAGATCAGGGTCATCTAAACCGACAGCTTTTGCATAAACTCTAAAACACCATGAACGCACTCACAGACAATACCGAGATTTCTATTGAAGGAAGATACGCTGTGCTCCGGAATCTGGTCTTACGCGAGTGGTCCTTTTACTTTGCCGACTCGCAGTTCGCACTCCTTATTTAGACTGTCCATGTAGGGACAAGCTAGCTGGGAATTAAACCGACGAACCGATTAATGGCAGCTGTATATGTTCTCAAGTTAACTTCATTTGCGGCGGCCTGTCATGTGTACTGCCAACCACTTCTAGTATAACCCATCTATGTGAACTTTTGCAGCTCATCTTTTGTCTGCAACGATTACATTCTTACCCGATTTATTCTGTTTCTTAGAGAAGTCCTCAGTTAACTACCTGTTTCATCGGTCCTGTGCTGTCATGATGGACGAGCAGACGCAAGATGAGTCCACATTACCGAAAAGGTCAAATAGGTATCCTTATTAGTGATTAGTAGTATGGTCTGTCTTATTTTTGGTGATTCGTCATAGCTATACTCAGCCAGAGAGTCACCACACATCCAGAAACACTGGACGTCCGGTTTATCCTACTGGGACTCTTCAGTAGCACGCACCCACAGAATGCTTCAGGATTCGAACCCACGACCTTACACTTGTGAATCAACGATTAGTGTCACTGAGCCATGAAGGACGACCTTGGGCCTCCAGGACTGATGTCTAACTGCGATATGGTGTGGCTCACCCTCCACTGTCGTGTATATTGTGAACGTGTAGAGGATAAGGCTAGCCCCCCTGCGCAAGTCCTAGTTAGCTATCAGTCATAGAGATCTGCTGCTGTCGCCCATGGCTCAGTGGCATGAGTCGCTGGCTCGCAAGAGTAAGGTCGTGGATTCGAATGCGTCAGGATTCGGCGGGTGCGCGTCTCTGAGAATTCCCAACAGGACGAAACGCTCATCTGCGCTTTCCCGGCAGTATGGTGGCTGTCTGGATAAGCCTGGTCTCGAGGAAACTTCAGTTATTCACATTGTTTTATAGGTGGAGATAAAGTCTGTTTGCAAGCTTACTTCTTAGGTGAATTTTGCGAAGGTACGGAATATAGATGTTTGAGGTTGGAGAAACAATTGCTGAAGCCAAAGCGAATTCCACGCACAAGACTATTCCTCTGTTCAAGATTTCATGGGCATGTTTGGTTGGTTGCAGATTGCGTTACCTTCAATTGCCAACAAACTCCTATGTCCGCCTCCTTGAACGCCATCAGTTCACCGACGACGGCCCGAATATCCTAACTGTGAAAACACACGAACACACGAACACAATACGACGTTCTGAACTCGGTGCGCATGCTCCCCTCGGGGGTACTGCGAACCAACCGGATCGTATTTCGGTACAGTTAGCACTCTCGTCCGGCTGCGTCCGGTTACTCAACGCATCCTTCATTTCCAAGGATGGAGCACGTCAAGAATAAATCAGTCAGAGGAGAGGTGAACCCAAAGAGAAATCATGTCACAGGAGCCATGGTTCTCATGCTGCATTGGAGTTAACATTACAATAAGAACCAACGACATATGACTACTGCACCGGGAAGACCTTGAGGCACACATTATTCGAACTCACAAGAGCCGACGAATTTTGATGCACCGTGAGATGTGCCAGTAGATGAGAACGCTATTATTCGTTGATTGTTTACTCTTAAAGCCTCATTGGCGCAGCGTTGTGCAGCCTGCTGTAATTAGGCCACTCATATCTTCTTGATCATATTTCTCATGTGCTTACATTGGTTTGTGTGCTTTTCTGATACCATTTGGATGAAGCCATCAAGTGGCTATTTGATGATATGGTCAAAAAGTGGGAGATTAAGTGGTTTAACTGCGGGTGTGTGACCTGTTCTTGGAAGCGATCTACAGGAACGACTACACCAGTGTTTGTAGTATAAGCAATCGTGAGTGCTCAGAAATCCAACGGCGCTCTCATCTTCGTCCTCATGCTGTTCCAGTTGTCAGCTGTCGGTTCCGACGACCATAACCTCCTTGAAGGATAACTTCCTGAGTGATGTCATTTTCGGTTACCCAAACCTATTTTCTCCAGTTTATTTATTGCTACTTTTCGTGACCATAAACATGACCAGATCCGCTGCACATATTTGCACAACCACAGTTAATTGCACAACTAACAATGATTTATCACTGACAACAAAGTGGATGACTGGGATGAGAAGTCACCAAACATAGAGGAGTTAGACGTGTGATCAAGTTAGAATCGCCTATCGATGAAACAGTGAGGCGATGCTATTCTGCCAGTAAGGAAGTGAGTACTGTAAAGTCACCGCCCTGGGACGAGGGTGAGAACTGGCACTGACTGTTACGGTAGCAAACAGAGTGATGAAATTTGAAACTCTCAAGCATGCACCGGTTTCCATACCGTGTGACACATACATCCAGCAGTACGTGTAAATCACAAAGACTTGTCATGGGGTGACGGTTTATTTTGTGAAATGTACCAAGAACATTAGCTAAGCGTTTTTTGTAGATATCGAAGATGTGGGAGGATGCAACTAAGTTTGCAGCAGTGCTGGCAAATTCAAAGGGAAAAGCAATCCAGTCTACACAGTACGTAACCATAACTTTTTACTCGGTGTCAGGTTGCTACCCCAGAGGTCTGTGTTCTGCTTCACCATTAGCATACTTCGACATCTGTGCTGGGGATTGCACGAAATTTGACACTCTAAGATGAGATTTCTGCTTGGCCTTCGGTTGTACCCACTGAAAACTCTCAATATCTCCATTCTTTGTTGGCAGGAGAGATTGTGCAGACTTTTGACATATTATGCTGCCTGATAGTAAGATAATGTTTGCACCACGAAGTCACGCTTCATTGAAGACCGCCAAGCTTGGATGACATATTGAACATGGGTGCGCACATAATATACGCACATCATTTGGAGGATGGGTGGATGAAAACCCCAGACTACCCTCCTCACGACCTTCCTCCTCCTGAAGTCACCTCAGACTGTTTTAACCGACTGAATTGATCCTTTACGGACTCACCAAGATTATGTTTCCGGGAACTGGTCTGCAGACCGTCTGTCCAAAGCTTATTAATGTCCGTGGCTTACTTGAACAACTCGGTCACCTTCTACGTTATGAACCGACCAATCCGAAATTCGATCAAGAGAATGCTGGGGACCGTCATGATTGTCTAGTCACTTGATCCCTTGCCTTATCTCGCGGGTTGGAAACAATTGCTCCTGTTAGATCGCTTATGGAGGCAAAGAACAAGTGAGACCCTACCGTCTAGCTTCAGTTGCGACACTTACGTAGCGAATTACCTATCCAGCCCAGGATGGCGTTGCCAATGCCATAGTCCCAGTGCAGGATACGATGGTCTAAGCCAGGGGTGTCCAAACGTTTTGCAAGAAGGACCACATTTTGGGAGGTAAAATATGTCGGGCCATATTCAGTTTGATTAAGATAATAACAAAGATTACGTATATGGGAAAAATCCAAGCCTGCGTTTAGTATTTCATGATGAGGCCAGATGACATGTTAAGGCGGGCCGCATTTGGCCCGCGGGCCGGACTTTGCACATCCCTGGTCTAAGCGGTCAACTGCTTTTGAAAAATCTGCGTAGACGGAGTCTGTTGCCACTCTGCTTTTAGCTACTTCAGTCCAACTACAGAGCGTGGACGTCAAGTTAGTGGTGCAGGAGTGATGTTACCGAAACCCACACCGCTATGATGTTTCAGTTTTCCGGGTAGAAGATCAGTGCATGGGAGAAGAAAGATTTCATGACTTTAGAAATCACGGGAACCAGCCTTATCGGGAGACAATTTGCAAAGTCAGTGTGATTAGCTCCATTTGAATGAAGTAATCATCCATAGTTCAGATGTCTTGATGTTGCTTCTCCCAACGTTGAGACCCCAACCACACGGCGTATATTCCAAATCCAACTTTCATTATCCATAAGTTTCAAGTTGGC